AAAGTTGTAAGCAAAACTGTATGCAAAATAATTTAAAATACGCATAAAAACATATTCAAAACAAACTTGCTTGGCCGCCACGCCACATTGAATTTTCCTTTTTGACAGATGGATTGAATTGCCTAATTCAATGCTCTACCTGTATTTTGGTTCCAAACACCTGCCAAAAACTTAGCTTCACTTTAGTTTCATAAGCAGAATGGCGCGTTCCTACTCCTTATGTCCGTAGGACAGCGCTTTACCTGCTCTAAGGAATTAACCGACAGAGGCTGCTGATGTTACATTGCATTGTTGCCGACATGAGAGCAAGTTTTCAGGGGGGGTGGCTAAATTTCAGTGGCGGCCCGGGCCCCCTCTGGCCCCCCCTGGCGTCGCCACTGAACAAATGATGCGGACAGTGAATTTGTTGCCGAAAAAAATACCATCATTTGTAACTAAATATAACGATATCAACTAAGTACCTTAAAATGCTCAAAAAGGGGCGTGGCACCAAAAAAAATTAGCCTACGGCGGTTGCCTGCGGCGCTAATGGAAATGATCTTATTATAATTCTGCCCCCCCTGAGAAACCTTGTAACGACGCCCATGTATAGTAGGGCAACTAAAATATTTGATTTTGACAAAATAAGTATATGAGACGTTTGCAGTAATGTTGCAGTTCTCAGTTTGCGCTTGAATTGTGTTTAATGCGTGTTTCTCATGCATTCCGACAGTGAAAACAATATCCATCCATCCTTACAGAAATTAGTGTAGCCGCATAAGTAGCATCTCTAGCATTACTTCCAGAGAAATCAAGGAAAAATAACAATCTTGTGTACAACATCTTTGTAGACTGGCGACTAAAGAATAGCACCAACTCATTTTCGTCAAATCCGCAAATTATCACCTATAGCTTCTTAATAAAATGAATAGTCGTAGATAAAGCATAGTATTTGACTCGCGCATAATGGCTATATTACACTCGCCTGCGGCTCGTGTAATATAACCTACATTATACGCTCGTTAAATAATATACTATTATTGGACAGTTTGCTGGCAATTTATTATGTCTGCAGTTGGAATTCAAAAATGCTCTTGTTTAATTTTTTCCGACAAAGCCAGAGATAACTGCAAAATTATTGCAAACGTCTAATATACTTATTTTGTCAAAATCAAATATTTTAGTTGCCCTAGTAACAACAATCCAAACAAGCTCGATTCTATTCTGAAACGCTGTCAATGCTGTCATATTATAGAATACGTATAAACATATACCTCTATTCCACGGGTGTGGAATATGAGATTCAAATTCCACAGGTGTGTAATATGAGTTACATTATGTGGTAACTATCACAAGCAAAATGCGTCTATTATTAAATAGTCGTAGATAAAAAAAATATTGAAAAAAGCTTATTATTGCCGATGAGTTTTATGAGAATGTTTTATGTTTGTGACGTATTGCTTGTTTTTTAAGTTTTAAGTTTTATTGCATCTTAAAGTGTATTTATATTTTAATAGATTATGGGAATCGTGACTAACTAGTATAGAACACAAACCAGTGAAAATTTTCAAGATTGAAAATCCTCTTCGTGGGGTTGCAGTCAAATCATTTGGACAAAGGACAAAAATCAAAACATTTGTTGCTTAGTCAAGCTTTCGGCAACTCTTTATTGCCTTCTTCAGGACAGCCTAAAAGTTGTACAATATTTTTTGTTATATAATGTAATTATAGTAATAACATTAAAGACTTACGACTTAGTTCTACTTAAAAAATAAAAAAGCATTCCTAGGGGACTAGAAACATCCAAGAATACATAAATGTGTGTGGTGATTGAAATTTCACCCTGTTATTGATTTATTTTTTTGTTCAATAGTTCAATTAAGGGCCCCATACACTACGATGAAACACGACGGTTTTCACCGCCACGATGAAACACGTCGTTCTAAAACCGAAGTGTGTAAAGGGCCCCATACACTACGGTGAAACACACGACGGTTTTCTACCACACACTTCGGTTTTGACACGACGTGTTTCCTCGCGGCGGTGAAAACCGTCGTGTTTCACCGTAGTGTATGGGGCCCTTAATAGAAAAACACGACGGTTTTCTACAGGACCCCACGGACTACGATAAAACACGACGGTTTTCACCGCCACGATGAAACACGTCGTTCCAAAACCGAAGTGTGTGGTAGAAAACCGTCGTGTTTCATCGTCGGTTTACAATTCAGTCCGAGCTTGATTTTTGGCAGGACGGTTCAACATTTCGTATACATGAACGGTTTTCTACCACACACTTCGGTTTTGGAACGACGTGTTTCATCGTGGCGGTGAAAACCGTCGTGTTTCATCGTAGTGTATGGGGCCCTGTAGAAAACCGTCGTGTTTTTCTATTACAAACTTCGGTTTTAAGGGCCCCATACACTACGGTGAAACACGACGGTTTTCACCGCCGCGAGGAAACACGTCGTGCCAAAACCGAAGTGTGTGGTAGAAAACCGTCGTGTTTTTCTACCACACACTTCGGTTTTGGCACGACGTGTTTCCTCGCGGCGTTGAAAACCGTCGTGTTTCACCGTAGTGTATGGGGCCCTTAAGAACGACGTGTTTCATCGTGGCGGTGAAAACCGTCGTGTTTCATCGTAGTGTATGGAGCCCTTTATACAGGGCTTTCATTTCAAAACTTCCCACCCATGCTATCTGCGTGAAGAGGTATATTTGCGGAAATCGCCGAAACACGTCAAGACATTTATTAAGGGGGAAGGTGGAAGGTTTTTTACGTAAAACTGGACTTCGCCCATTCAACCCCTTAAACCCTAGGGCTACCTCCCCAAAATTTTCAAATGAAACAGGGGGTCGAGTAATAGTATATTTTAAAGGGCTGTTTAATCTGTACATTTTGTCGTTCTATTTTCTGAATTTGACCTCAGTGTTACAGAATAACACCCATTTCAATGTTTAAAAATGCCTATTTATTTTTAAACACACCTGCTTCTTTACCTAGCTTTTTATTATAGCAACAGGTAGTGATGCCGCGAGACTCGAGACTGGTCTCGTCTCGTCTCGTCTCATCTCGACTTTTCGAGACGAGACTGGCTTTTGGTCTCGTCTCGTGAAGTCTCGACGAGACGAGACCAGACTCGGCGAGAGTCTCGTGTAGTCTCGAGTCTCGATATTACACTTAAAATTTTTCTTTCATAGCTTTATTATTAGACTATTCTGGGCTATTTGAATATGAAATCAGTGAATTAAATATCAGGGTTACTCTTTACTGTGATTTTTCACTAATTGCTTTTTCACTGTGGCAGTTTGGACTTCCGTTATAATATAAAAACAAAAACCATAAATACAGGGTGTCCGAAAAATAGCGTAAAAATTCTCCACGTAGTAGAGGACCCTTTGAGAAACCCTAGAAAAATTATTAAATTAAAAAAATCCTTCTCCACCATTATTCTTGGTAATATGAAGAGGTAGATGTGAAAATTCACCTTCGAATTCTTCAGGTAGTTACATAGGTATTTAATTTAATTCTCTAACATATTGTCAACGGGATATTTTCAGTGTTGCCAATTTAAATAAATATTAAAATGCAAATAACTTTCTTTAGAATGCCACTAGATTTTTTAAAGTATTTTTCTGCGATTCCTTGTACGGTTCTCTACCACGTAGAGAAGAGTTTTTACGCTATTTTTTGGACACTCTGTATAACTCGAGACCAGACGAGACCACTCGAGACGAGACGAGACTTTGGTATTCGAGCCCGAGTCTAAATCACGGTCTCGTCTCGGGATGTCGAGACGAGACGATACCAACCCTAAGTCTTGTCTAGTCTCGTCTCGCGGCACCACTAGCAACAGGTAATTAAGCAGCTGTGTTTAGGGATAAATAGGCATTTTTGAATATTGAAATGGGTGTGTTTCTTCCATACTGAGGTCAAATTTGAAAAATAAGACGGCAAAATGTACAGATTGTCTCATTTGAGAATTTTGGGGAGGTAGCCCTAGGGCTTAGGGCGTAAAAAACCTTTCCCCTCAATAAATTTGTTGACGTGTTTCGGCGTTTTTCACAAATATGCCTCTTTACGCAGATAACGTAGGTGGCAAGTTTTGAAATGAAACATCATGGGTAACAATTGCTTCAATCCAAAAATACCGGATCTTATAAGCCAGAAAAGAAGATCCAATTCACTATGCTCTGTCCAAGATAATTAATAATTCTAAATTGTGTTTTTCACCTAATAATCTTGATTTGAAAACAAAATGGAGAGTGAAGACCATTCCACAACACAAAAAAATCAAATAAAACGCAACGTCAGTAACATAAAAAAAATTTGTCCCTGGTCCAAAAGATTTGACTGCAACCCCACGAAAAGGATTTTCAATCTTGAAAAATTTCAATAGTTTGTGTGTGTTTTATATTTTAAGCAATTTTAGCTGTTTTTAATGTTTTTTTTTTTTTGGTGAGCCTATGACCACTGAGTTTATACTGTATCTACACATCGTTTCACCAGGGTTCATACTTTGGCTATCGAACACGTCATAACTTGAAAAAAAAAGGGTTTTCCTAGATTAATTCATATGACACATTCAATTTTGTTGACAAATGAAAAGGAACGACTCCAGCGGCCCTATTCTTGAAACAGGTGAGCAACGTTCCCATGAGAACGAGTGTTCCGTCTTTCGCAATGATATGCAAATGATAATATAAGTAACAAAGATAGAACACTCGTTCTCCCGGGAAGTTTGCTCCCCTATTTCAAGAATAAGGACTCTGGTTTGTGAACCGTCTAACAATTCCTATTTGTTAAAAAAGGAAGGCGGAAAGTATGAACTCTCGTGAAACAAAGTTTACTTATATTTATTTTCAGCTTTGTACTTACATGAGGGTTTTCAAGCTCTTTACACAATAAAGCATTTTTGATTTGATTTGACTATGTATAACATCCTAAAAAAAATCATATCTGAATACCATAATATTAATTAAAATATTTCATCCTCAATTTTAATCCAGTCGTTTCTTTTCAGATATAACCCTTCAAGGGACCCTAATGATGCACCGTATGGCAACCTACCACCGCCTAATTCCTTGGATCCTACCGACTCCTATAATAGAGATAGGAGCCAATTTGGTCAAGATGCTTACAATAAGGACAGAGATAGAAGCAATCAGGTACGAATTTCAGATGTTGTCAAGAGCTGATCAGATTATTGCTGAACATTTCTATTGTATTTTGATTGGATTCCTGCTTAAGCACTAATTCGATTAACTCTAATGTTCTTATTTAGTTTGGTCCTGATCCCTACGACAACCAAAATGGTGCCTACGATTACACTCCCTATAGAAACCCATTAGTTTATGGCGGTGAAAAAATCGAACATGCTGCCATCATCAAAGAAGCCACTTACTTTGTGGTAGCCTCAAAAATGGTCAGACCAGGTCAATTATACAGAGTCTCTGTAACAGTTTTGAAAGAAAAACAACCTCTCATAGTTAGAGCGTCGATATCGCGCAATGGCGTTGAAATGTCAACGGATCATAAGGACGTTAAAGAGGGTATTCCTGAAACACTTTTGATGCAAGTGCCTACTACTAGTGCCTCTGGAGAATACAAACTTCGTGTAGAAGGATTGTATGAAGATATTTTAGGGGGCGTAGCGTTTTCTAACGAGACAAAATTGACGTTTTCTCAAAGATCCATGACGATTTTTATACAGTTGGACAAGCCTGTGTATATGCAAGGAGAAACAGTTCGTTTTAGAACTATCCCTATCAACACTGAACTGAAAGCTTTCAATGATGCCATAGATGTTTATATGTTGGATCCTAATGGCCGAATTTTGAAAAGGTGGCTCTCACGACAGTCGAATCTCGGCACTGTTAGTTTGGATTACCAACTCTCCGATCAACCAGCTTTTGGAGAATGGAAAATCAGAGTAATTGCTCAAGGGCAACGCGAAGAATCTACTTTCATGGTCGAAGAATATTACCAAACTAGATTTGAAGTAAACGTTACCATGCCAGCATTTTTCCTAAACACTGAACCTTTTATTACTGGTATAGTAATGGCGAATTACACTAGTGGCGCTCCAGTACGCGGAAACCTAACTCTCAAAGCTTCGGTTAGACATATTAAGCCTATTGATGTTAATAGAATGCTGAAAAAGAACAGACCGAGACCTATTGAGAGCAATTTGTACAATCCGTATGGGCCAAATGATTTTTGGAAACCTGACGATTATCATAGGAGGTTTGGTGAAGATTCTTATAATAGGTAAGTTTGATTGAACCACTACATTGTTTAGTTTTTGACTTATGTTATGATAGGAAATTTGCACATTTAAAAATGAATTAACTCTTGATACATTTGATCTAATTTTTTTTTTCAGGCAGAACTTTCCTTACGATGGTAATCTCAACAGGCAAAGACAGTTTGATAATTATTATGACAACTATGATCAATACAATAAGCCGGTCATAGAAAAGTACTACAATTTTCTTGAAGAGTTTCCGGCGTGGATGCCGCAGAACCAGTACTGGGAATCGGTACCGAGTTTAAAATTTGTACGTGCTTCTTTTTTATTTTTTTGGTTGCTTTTGATCACTTACAAACTTTTCACATAACATATTTGAGTAATTCACTTTTTAGTAGATCTATGAAAGTTTTTTTTATCTTGAGTAGGATGTATGTCTCTTGAAGAAATAGATTAAGGAACGCTGTGTCAGAATGAAAAATAATCTCAATTTTTTTTCCTTAGTTCTATGGTACTTACAACTTCAAATTCCCTATTGGAGATTTGCTGGAATTCACGCCCAATTTGGATGGGATGGAAATTGTAATCACTGCCACAGTTGGTGATAGATATTTGGACGAAGTCATTGAAGGTTATTCCATTGCAAGAATATTCAATTCATCGGTAAGATCTTCGGATTTTCAATAGTTTATGATTATTTTTGAATACTAATGAGTACTTATTGTAGTTTTCATGTGAGTTTATTTAAAAACTTGCTAGAATTTACCCGAAGTGTGTAATCTTTGAATCTTGAAAATCATTAAAACAATCTATTTAAATGCTCCTCACCTTTTACTTTTACTGTATTCTATAGTTACTCTAGTCCATATTGTATCTTTTTAAATTTTTCAGGTCAAATTAAAATTCTTGGGCGAATCTCCTCAAGTCTTCAAGCCTGGCATGCCCTTAACCACTTACCTAGTAGCCTCGTTTTATGACGGTTCCCCTCTCTCCGAAGAAAGCTTGGCAAATAGTTTTATGGAGGTAACAGCTTTTGTTGAAAAGCGCGGCGGTGGTAGAATGGACTTACCTCCCAAAAAACTATGGATGATGAGTGAGCAGCCGGGTATTTGGGAGTATAAGGTGGATTTGAAAAGAGAGTTAGGCATTTTCGGCCCAAGGGCCTTCGAAGAATTAAGCCAACTGAGTACCTTGAGAATACAAGCTACTTTTAGGGATGAGTATATGAATCAACATGCTACAACTGAGTTGCTACTATTAGCTCATTATAGTAACAACGATCAGCATATTAAAGTGACTACCAGCACTTTAGCACCGAGAGTAGGGGAATTTATGATTTTCCATATCAGATCCAACTACTACATTGACAAATTCAACTATATTATCATAGCCAAAGGCATAGTACTAGTGACAGGCGATCAAGACATGAACGATTTTGTTAGTACCATGTCCATAGCTCTTAGTGCCGAAATGGCACCAGTAACTACCATAGTCGTATGGCATTTGGGACGTTATGGAGACTTGGCAGTGGACAGTTTAACTTTTCCAGTGAACGGTATCAGTCGGAATAAATTCAAAGTTATGATAAATAATAAAAAAGCAAGAACAGGACACAAAGTGGAAGTAGTGATTTATGGAGAACCTGGATCTTATGTGGGTCTCTCTGGAATCGACCGGTCGTTCTACACAATGCAGGCTGGTAACGAATTGACTTATGCTAAAGTTATTACTAAAATGATGACGTTCGATGAACATATTAATGGTACTTTAAAACACGATTGGATGTCACACGAAGGTAAATAATTGAATGTAATTCTGAAAATGACACTAAATGAACTCTTGTTGAAGCTTTATATGACTGAATATGTTTTCAGGTTATCCAGATGAATTAATATATTTCCCATCTAGTACTTATGGAATAGACGCCAATCGCACCTTTGAGTATGCTGGATTGGTTGTTTTTAGTGATTTTGAACTAACTAGGCGACCCAGCTATTGCAATATATCTCAAGGTAATTAATTGTTTCTTATACAAAACATCTTGGAGAATATATATATGACAACTTTTGTATTATAGGTCTTGGTGAATGCCTCAATGGTAGATGTTACAGATTGAGTAAAAGATGCGACTATTATAGAGACTGTGAAGACGGCACCGATGAAGCAGGATGTAAGTTTACAAAAAAAAATGTTCAATGTTAGATCCTTATCCTAATACCTCCGTGTTTTATAGGTAATTACGAAAACAGTACCGAGCTAGCACTATTTAGAAAATTCCGATTCAACAGAGTGCAACGCCAATACGAAAATGTATGGGTTTGGAAGGACGTCAATATTGGACCACACGGCAGATATATTTTCAATGTAGATGTTCCAGCAAGGTAAGAATTTGAATTTTTTGAAGTTTGAAAATAAATTTTTTGGGGCTTTTAGGCCAGCTCATTGGATGGTATCTGCCTTCTCTATGAGTCCGACACTAGGATTTGGAATGCTGAATAAAGCCATAGATTATGTGGGGGTTTTGCCTTTCTTTATTAATGTGGAAATGCCTACAATTTGTATGCAAGGTAAGGATTTATAACTCACACTCAAATTAGCCATTAGGTTATATAATATTTAACACAATCTATATTATTTGTGAATCCCAACTATTGGTTCTTTGTAATCTTTGTGACACTCATTTTACCGAAACAGTAATGTTTCTCTCTTAAGTATCTCACTGGATATTTATACTACCTACTGAACTCTATAAACTATTTCATTAATCTACATCATACATATGTAGGTTTTTATATTCGTTGTCTAGGGGTATTTTGGGGGTTGTGCGCCGAATGGAACCACTTTGATGCACTGTTATATAACAATAAGGTATAATGAAAAATACCTAGTTAATGAGTGGAAAAACACATGTGGAAATAATGCACAGCTTAGAAAGTAAATTTGCTTGTGCAGCCCTCGTCTACAACACCCACAGAACCACGTCACGTCAGGTTAGTTACTAAGTTTTTGACTTGGGGAATTATCTTTAAAAAAAAAACAGATTTTAGTAATGCTGTTTTCACTAAGAACATTAATAATTTCTCTAAAATACATCTAATTCTACACTAAACTAATATCTAATCCCACACTCGGCAGTCCTGACTAGCAATCCGACTCGGATTCGCTAACTTTCATTACCCATGGTTTCATAAACTCGGCACAACTCAAAGTTACTCGCGGCCCTTCATGATTCCCGACTTTCACCATTTCGTAACGTTCGTTTGGCTTCACCTTAGTAATTTCGTATGGACCCAAAAAAATTTTACACAATTTTAATCCTCCCCCAAATTGGGTTCTTTTGATTGCCACTAATTCTCCAATTGCATATCTCCTCGGCTTCCTTCTTCTTAAGTTATATTGTTTTTTGTTTTCTTCTTGTATTTTCAAGATTTGTCTTTTACAGTCATTTTTTAATTCTTCTCTATTTTTGGTGAACACATTGTCATCTATTGATTCCTTTTTTAATAATTCTTTTATTTATACGTCTTCTTTTGTTTTCATTTCAACTCCAATTAATACCTCGAAAAGTGTTGCATCTATACTTGGTTGCAAGATAGAATTTAGTACTCTTTCCAAATGTTTGAACCATTTGTTCGGATCTTCCATACTTAGTTTAGTAAGAACTGTAATGATGATTCGATTAATTCTATCTACTTGACCGTTTCCCCTTGGTACTTCGGTGGTGATAGTTACGTGCCGAATTTCCTCCTCCTCGCAATATTTCTGAAACTCTTTGGCTGTAAATACCCTTTTATCCGATATAATTCCACTTGGATTCCCAAAGGTCTTTTGTTGCAGCTTCAGTTTTTCGATTGTCTCTCTAAATGTTGTAGACTTGTCGCATATAACCACACAAATTTTGTAAAATCATCGCAACCACGACTAAAATGTGTTGGTAGTTTAAATTTATCTGGATTACTTGGGCGTTCCCTCGATTTTACTTGGTCATATAATTTGATTTTTTCCTTAAATTCTGAAAAGTTTTTCGTCCCATATAATATAATTTTACTTGAAGTTTCATCCTTTATTCCGTCAATTATGTATTGAATTATAATGTGAGCATCTAACATCGCTCTACTACCTATTTCACGCATGACCAAAGCATATTCTTGTGTCGACTCCGTAAAATGTTTTTTTCTTTTCATTAGCAGCTTATGTATCTGTGCTCTGCTAACCTTGACTCCAAATTCAACTCTCAGTCTTTTCTTCAATATGTCTCAAGATTTTATTCCTTTTTCTGATTGTACAAACAACTTTGCCATTCCAACTGAAGATTTCTTTGCAAAAATAAGCTTTTGCAGATCATTCCAACCTGTAATTTCTGGAATCTTCTCAAAGTCATCAATCCATTTATTTATAGGATAATCATCTTTACCATTAAAAGTTCTAATGCTATCTTCTACATCTCCAAATGTCAGTGCGAATGAGTCAGCTCTTTTCGACTATGCTGAGTGAATCCACGAGCACGTTGATATCCACCAAGTAGCTCATCATTATCATCGTCTTCATTTTCTTCGACTTCCTCGTTATTTTCCTCTCCATCTACGCCATATTTTTCTTCATCTTTGTTATCTTCTTCGTCTTTTACTGTCAGATTATTTAAAAATGAGGACACACAATCAACCACTTTCCTGATCACTTTCACTTCTATCACTTTCTGCGCGAATTCTTCCGAATTTTTGTCCATTTTGAAAACCAGAAAATTCACGCATATTCCGTCTTGCCATTCGAGACTGAGATTCTTAAATTCTCCACAAACCTATTAATTAAGATTTCAATTTGGTTCCAACAGTTTTACACCTGAGAAGCTCCAAAATTGAAATTATCAAACATTGAAAATATTCCAAAAATGACACTGAGACACTTTTTGCCTCACAGCTCGATTAATTTCCATCCGATTTCAAAGTAATTACGCTCTAATTGAAACCAATTAAATTCTCTACAAACCTGATAATTAATATTTCAATTTGGTTTTAACAGTTTTGCACTTATCGACCATTGAAAAGTTTCCAAAAATGACACTAAGACAGTTTTTGCCTTACAGCTCCGTTAATTTCCATCCGATTTCAATGTAATTACGCTCTAATTGAAGTCAATTAAATCTCCTACAAACCTGTTAATTGAGATTTTAATTTGGATTTGGTTTCAAAAATTCTGCAACTGAGAAGCTTCAAAATTGAAATTACCGAACATTGAAAATTTGACAAATTGACACCGAGACAGTTTTTGCCTGACAGCTCCTGACAACTTTCATCCGGTTTCAATATAATAGACCTATCTCCCATGATTAGAAAAAGGAAGCTTTATTGTAATAAATACAAGTTAGAAAACAATAAAAGATGACATGCGCGCGCAACTCGTAGGCTGCAGTGTAGCCAGATTGTATTGTTGCAGAACAAATTTAGACAATACAAATCGAACATTATAACATTAAAGAAGTAATATAGTCTCAAGTGTTTCACAACGCCTTGAATCAGACAAAAGAAGAGCTTTAAAGTGGATAAACATCGTTTGCACTTTCATTTTGATAAATGTTTCATCCGGCAACATTGCTCAATGAGGTTGCAAAGGAATATGTCAAGTATAATCTAACATAACCTTAAACGAAACTGCGGTGAGTTCAAGTAATATGTAAAGTATTAGTTTGCTCTTTGTCAAATTACACGTTACAAAGAAAGAAGGAACGATTCATTCTGAACTGGCCCCTGAATAAGAATATGACTCAAGCCTGTCATAAACTTGCTTCTCATTGGACGCTCACCTGCAGCCTACAAGCGACGCGCGCAGTCCAGATAATAGGAGATCGGTCTATTACAATCTAATTAAAGCCAATTAAATTCTCTACAAACCTGTTAATTTAGATTTCAATTTGACTTCAACAGTTCTGCACCTGAGAAGCTCGAAAATTGAAATTATCAAACATTGAAAATTTTACAAAAATGACACAGCTAGTTTTTGCCTGATAGCTCTATTAATTTTTATCTGATTCGAATGTTAAAAAGCTCTAATTGAAGCCAATTAAATTTTTCACAAACCTATTAATTAAGATTTTAATTTGGTTCCAACAGTTTTACACCTGAAAATTAAAATTATGAAATATTGAAAATTTTCCAAAAATGACACTGAGACAGTTTTTGCGTCACAGCTCCGTTAACTTTCATCCGATTTCAATATAATTAAGCTCTACATAAAGCCAATGAAATTGTCCACAAACCTATTAATTAAAATTTCAATTTGGTTCCAACAGTTTTACACCTGAGAGGCTCCAAAATTAAAATTATGAAATATTGAAAATTTTCCAAAAATGACACTGAGACAGTTTTTGCTTCACAACTCCGTTAACTTTCATCCGATTTCAATATAATTAAGCTCTAATTAAAGTCAATTAAATTGTCCACAAACCTATCAATTAAAATTTCAATTTGGTTCTCACAGTTTTACACCTGAGAAGCTCCAAAATTGAAATTATCGAACATTGAAAAGTTTCCAAAAATGACACTGAGACAGTTTTTGCCTGACAGCTTTATTAATTTTTATCTGATTCGAATGTTAAAAAGCTCTAATTGACCTTTTGTTTGGATGCCATATTGTGGTGCGCGAACAAAGTTGCTAAAAGTAGAAAAAAAAATCACTAGCGTACTGTCAACATTAAAAATAAAAGTTACTGAATAAATTACGTTCCAAATTTAAATTTGCCGCCTATTTCGAATGTTTTTGAAAAGAAAAGCCATCAATTTTAACTTGTATTGGGCAGAATAGAAATAATAAAATATCTACCTATTCACTTTATCAAATTTCGGTTTCCATTCTCAAACCTAGTACCCAACCGCCAAATTTGCTCTTTTTTGACATTGCTCCGACAATTTGACGTTTTATGCGTGAATCAAACGTCAAATTGTCGAAGCAATGTGAAAAAAGGGCGAATTTTGCGGTTATGAGTACTAGGCTTTATTGTTTATAGAATCAGAGAGAGGAAGTAATTAAACAAAAAGGATAGCGAGGATCAATCATTCAGTTACTTTTTTTTAAAATGTTGACAGCCCGCTAGTAATTTTTGTTTTCTTCTTTTGGCAACTATGTTCGCGCACCGCAATATGGCGCCCAAACAAAAGGTCAATTGAAGCCAATTAAATTTTCCACAAACCTGTTAATTAAGATTTTAATTTGGCTTCAACTGTTTTACACCTGAGAAGCTCCAAAATTAAAATTATGAAATATTGAAAATTTTCCAAAAATGACACTGAGACAGTTTTTGCCTCACAACTCCGTTAACTTTCATCCGATTTCAATATAATTAAGCTCTAATTAAAGTCAATTAAATTGTCTACAAACCTATTAATTAAGATTTCAATTTGGTTCCAACAGTTTCACACCTGAGAAGCTCCAAAATTGAAATTATCGAACATTGAAAAGTTTCCAAGAATGACACTGAGACAGTTTTTGCCTCACAGCTCCGTTAACTTTCATCCGGTTTCAATGTAATTACGATCTAATCAAAGCCAATTAAATTCTCTACAAACCTGGCAATTAATATTTCAATTTGGTTTCAACAGTTCTGCACCTGAGAAGCTTGAAAATTGAAATTATCAAACAGTGATAATTTGATGACAGACAGTTTTTGCCTGACAGCTCTATTAACTTTTATTCGATTTGAATGTTGATAAGCTCTAATTAAAGCCAATCAAATTCTCTACAAACGTGGCAATCAAGATTTCAATTTGGTTTCATCAGTTTTACAACTGAGAAGCATCAAAATTGGAATTATCAAACATTGAAAATTTTACAAAAATGACACTGAAACAGTATTTGCCTCACAGCTCTGTTGCTCCGTTAATTTTCATCCGATTTCAATGTAATTTTGGAGAATACGTAAATTTATGAAAAATCTTGAATTTTTTAATAAAAATGTCTGTTTCTTATCTTAAACTTTTCCACCGAGGTTCTTTTTTTTCTCTGTCATGCTCACGTATTTCTGCTTGTTGCCTCATAATAAGAATATATAGAGTTGTCTTGAAATTTCTTTCCTGAACTTCAATAATTTGTACCCAACACCTTGGCAAAATCACGTAGTTTATAAATAGATTTTTCTGAAATTTCCCATAATTAATCGCTTGATGTATGCCTTATGTGTCTTTATAAAACTGTAATCTTTGAGATTGTTAAATACACATACCCCTGTTAATTATTTTTCTCATAAAATTATTAAACTAAAAATTATAGACTTCAAGATTATCGAGGATATCTACAGGGTGAAGCATCATTATACAGAGCAAAGTGAAAAATGTCGAATGAAAAATTTTTCATTTTGCTCTGCATTATAGACTTTGTTTCAAGATTTGGAAGAAAATGTGCAACACTGTACTAATAATTATTAATATGCTAGTATTTAAATATTTAAGGTAACATGTTCCTTGTTACTTTCAGGTGAACAGGTTGGTATCAGAGTCACAGTCTTCAACTACATGGAAGACAATATGGAAGCCACAGTCATACTGAAAGGATCTCCAGATTACAAGTTTGTTCACGTAGAAGAGAATGGATTTGTCACTGCCTACAATCCTAGAACTTCTTTTGGAGAACACCAGGTAAGTTTATAAAAAACATCTTAAAGAACAAATATTTCCAATAAGCATTTTTGTTTCAGTTCTTTATCTTCATAAAAGCTCAAGATGCTGCACAAGTATACGTTCCCATTGTGCCCACTCGTCTAGGCGACATTTACGTGACTGTTTATGCTGCTACCCTTATTGGCAAGGTAAGAATTATTTTTTTATTATTTTGTTATCTTATTTTGTGTTTGATTTCCAGGATGAAGTAACCAGGAAACTTCGTGTCGAAGCTGATGGGTTACCACAATACAGACATCAATCTGTATTATTGGATTTGAGTAATAGGGCTTATACGTTCCAGTATATGCACGTGAATATTACCGAAACTCCGATTATTCCTTATGAATATGATAGGTAGGTAATGGGAATTTGCTTCTGTGTGGTTGATAGACAAAATAAAAATCTAAGCATGTTTCTTCTCTTGAGAAAAAAATACGCTTCTCTGTGAAGTCATACACAATCTCCTAAAAGTGAAACCACCTGGCAATGTTTCTTAAGATTATGGTTTTCTTGATTTTTAAACAGTTAAAAGAACTTTATTTTATTCGAGATTTCAAGCAAGTAGATTTTGTTAGGTATTAAAGTTACATACTTCTAAATACATATTGTGTTATCTTGTAAATGATTTTTTAAATGTTTTCTTCTAGATACTACGTGTATGGTTCCAATAAGGCTAGTATATCAATAGTAGGCGACGTGGTCGGTCCAATTTTCCCCACAATGCCTGTGAACGCCACATCTCTCCTATACCTGCCGATGGATTCGGCCGAACAAAACATGTTTTCCTTCGCAGTCAACATGTACACCCTACTATACATGAGATACACTCAGCAAAAAAACAAAACTCTACAAAAACAGGCTTTTCATTATTTAAACGTCGGCTATCAGAGGCAGTTGAGTTTCATGCAACCCGATGGCAGTTTTTCCACATTTAGAAGCGACTGGAACAATTCCGCGTCTTCGGTTTGGTTGACCGCGTACTGTGCAAGGATTTTACAGGAAGCCAGTTTTTACGAATGGGAAAATTACATTTATATCGATCCAGATGTTATAGCTAAGTCGGTTGAGTGGGTTTTGAAACATCAAACCGAGGAAGGGTCGTTTTATGAAACAACTTGGATGCCCGACAGGAAATATAATTCTTCACTTAACTTTGATCACAACAATATCGCTCAAAGGAATATTACTTTGACTGCGCATGTACTTATTACTTTGGAGAGTGTTAAGGATTTAACAAGTAAGTTTAAAATGTATTTGTAACTTATTGTATAGAAATTAAATACCAAAAATGGTTGTGTAAATTGGAGTAAGTCTTTATGTTATAACATAACAAATCTAGCAAAGTCACATTAGCAAAAAGCTGAATACATGCTATATTTTCTCACAATATTGTTTCAGGTTGGTTTTCAACACTAAACACATAGTTCGTGGACCATTTATACACTGTATTCGTTATGCCATAGCTCTTCAATTTACTGTCAATAGTTTCGAATTCCTTTTGGGAGACCAATAAAAACACTACTATACCTTTTTTCTTATTTAAAGCAGTTTTCAATGTCATAAATATTTGTAAAGTACTCCCCATGAAATGTGTTTCTGAAAGCCTTCATATTCACTGAAAAGTTTATTATTTTCAAACTAGCCAATAAGACTTTTGTTATGCAGAGACCCTGTTCAAAGCTCAAAATTCATTACTTTGATTGGTGTAATTATAACTCAGTTGACTTCTTTTATTTTTCTGTGAACGCTTTATCCATGAAATTTATCTCCTATCATTTCAGAATCTTTTTGTAGTAGGTATGTTTGTTATTTCGATATTTACATTGCAGTTTTTCTTCAAAAGATTTTTCACAATTCTTCGTTTAACTTTTAGGTGGTCTAAGCTCTAGAGTGGCCATAGCTGCAAAAAAAGCAATTTCCTGGCTTGAAAAGAATATGGATCTGGTTGAGGATAAAGGACAAGCTTTCGACACGGCCATTGTGGCATACGCGCTTATGAAAATTAAAGCAGCCAATGCGGAAAGGGCCTTTTTGGCTCTATCGAGAAAGTGAGTAGAATTTTCAACCAATTTTCAGATGATGACTACATAAAAAAAATCCAGTAGAAATTTTCTTTGCCCAGAATTTTTATAGGTTATAGATTGTTATTAATTTTTAGAAGTTACTTGTAAAATGTAGTTGCAAAAAATCAGTCCACTTTGTTGAAAAACATTTTCTTAAAGTTGTAATGTGAATATTTTTTAGGGCTGTTCTGGAAGGAGGTTTAGTCTACTTCGCCCGGAAAAGTATACCTCAGCCGCCCTTTAAAGTGGAAAATCAGAAACCATTCTTATTGCCCAGATTACCTTACGAATATGACAGCGAAAATATTGAAGCTACAGCCTACGCTTTGATGGTGTATGTTGAGAGGCAGGAGTTGTATGTCGATAACATTGTCAGGTAAGAATCAAGAATAATATTTATACTTTGACTGATATAGCCCTAAAAATCACTTGATGAGTATAATACAAAAACAAGCAATTATTTCAATTCTCATTTGTGTCATTCTTCTATTGAGCAATCTGTGAAATTTACTTTAAATGATATTTTGGTGAGTAGCACATCAAAAGGTATTAGTCGCTTGTGGTATATTGTTTTTTAGAAAAATGTTTTCTTGTAATATAAAAATTTTCTCTATTTCTGGTTGAATAGGTAATCAATTTATTAATATTTGACAGATGGCTTAATACGCAACGCCTCTCTGACGGTGGTTGGGCTTCAACTTCCGATACAGCTAACGCGATGAAGGCTCTAATCAAGTACACTTCCGCTCAAAGAATCAGAGATATTTCGAGCCTCTCGGTGACGGTCGAAGCGACATCTTTACCAGGAAAAAGTCAAGTGCTTTATGTAAATGACAAAAATAGAGCCAAATTGCAACACATTGAAATACCCAATGCTTGGGGTAAGACTCTTTAATATTTCACTAGAAACATCATAATTTATTTATTCAATTAGGTACTGTAAAAGTTGACGCCAGAGGTACAGGATATGCCATTCTTCAAATGCACGTCCAATACAATGTCGACATAGAAAAATACCAAACACCGCCGCCTGTTAGAGCTTTCGAGTTGGTTACCAAACAATATTACTATGGTAGAAATCAGTCTCACATCACCTACGTTAGCTGTCAAAGGTGGATCCACACCAACGAATCTCAAAGATCCGGCTTAGCCATCCTGGACGTTACAATTCCTACAGGATATATTGTGCAACAACAGGATTTGGATGCCTACATAATTTCTAGAAGAGTTAGAAATTTGCAGAGGGCTCGGTTTCAGGAGAGAAAAGTGATTTTCTATTTTGATTATGTGAGTTGTTGATGTTTTTTTTGTCCAATTTTTATTAATTGTTTAATTTATTATAGCTGGATACAGAAGACACTTGTGTGAACTTCACTGTCGAGCGATGGCATCCTGTGGCAAACATGTCTCGGTACTTGGCGGCCAGAGTTTACGATTATTATGCACCGGGTAAGAATTTTTGGTGTGAATTAGGTTTGTTTTGGGGCAAGAACAGTTAGTATTTGTCAACTTTTTTGGTGAAGATCCTATAGAAATTGGGTTTATTGATTTGACATGATTATAACTATGAAAGAGGGATTGTCAAGGTTGTACGAAGCTATACATTAATTGGCTACAATTGTATGTGAATTATAGTAAAAGCTTTTACAGTGGCGTGAATGAAAAATGTAAATTGAAACGATAAGTTTTGAAAGTGAGTTGAAGTGACCCACTGTGATGATATTTCATTAACAGCGTGGTTTCCTTGTCTGAGTGAATAACTTAAGAAGTTTTCATTCATAAATTTCACTCCCAATGTTTTAAACGCTTAGTCAATTAAATTTGAACTTTCGTACCACAAAACTCAGCTATTAACATTTGAATTGAATTTAAATCACAATTTTATACAATATGAACTTAGACAGTTCAGGCTGCTAACTCAAACTGGGATGTTAAATTTTTATAATCGAGTTGCTTGCTTATTTAACTTTGTTGATGAAGATGCCTTGGATATATAAACCCAAGTTGATGTGAATACTAGAGAAATCTTACTTGGATTTCTTTCCATCAAAGTCCTTTAAAGTTAAAACCAATGAACCTGGTAATGGCTTCTGGTTGCTGGCGTGATCGACTTAGGTTGCTTGGTCAGGTTAGTAGGCAATATGAAATTCAATTCAATTCAATAGGCTTTATTGTCAAAAAATACAGGATTTTTATAGACAAAGCAATAGCAAAAATAGTGAAAGTTAAATATTACAATTAAATGTCAAATGCTTAACTTGTACTAGGGTAAGTGTATACAATTTATAAAATAATTGAAATACAATTCATAAAATACCTAAAATAGTTAAAATTCTTTGGTGATAGTCATAATACAAAAAACAATGAGAATAAAACAGTCAACAATATCACAATACAAGACATAAATTGTTTAGATGTCAAATATTAAATATATACAATTTCCAAGTTGTTGGTACATATAATATACATGAGAACAAAAGACAAAAGACAAAAAACCTGAAACGAAGAGTAGGCAGGTACTTGCATTCTGACTAGAATATGTCACTAAAGAACTCATCAGTATCATAATAAGCCTTCACAGCCAACAATTCTTTTACCGATCTCCGAAACCTCCCATAATCTTCACTAAGTTTGCAGTAATTGGGGAGTTTGTTGTACATTTTAACACTGTCATATATAAGAGACTTTTTAGTTTGAGTGGAATGAGGAATATGTAGTGCAATGCAGCCATGATTCCTTGTATTATGAGGATGCGAAAGAGTTGAATCTTTATATTTCTTAAAGAGAAAGTCGCGCTGTCATCCATGAATTTTAAACCCGTATTACATCTGCATATTTTTCTGTGTATTTCTTCATATAAATAGTTCAGGGTGCCAAAATTATTTTGTTTTTCATAATGCTGATTTATGTTGCGTTTGAAGTTTTTCGGTTGTCACCCTGAACTGCATAAAGAAATTCACGGAAAAATACACAGATACGGGCTCAAGTCTTATAAAAAAATATATACAAATGCTATTAAAATATCTAAGATATTATAGATAGTTTAATTTTGTCAGCTAAAAATTCAGTAAAAGCAATGTAAAAAATCATAAATAAATCAAGAATGGTGGACTCTCGCGAGATTAGTTCAGTTCCCTCATCTACTGATTTCAATAACTACTTTTGCAGCATTGCACGCAGGATCTCACTAGCAAGATTGGTCCGAGTGAACTTGCTCCTTTTCAAAACCTAAAACACATGGTTCTTTCACCTAATATTTTTATTTTTTCTCCTGTCTTTTGCAGTAAAGTTAGGGATATCATAGACAACATTAAAAATAACACCAGCTGTGATATTTTTGGTTTGAGTGTTAAATTGATTAAATCCATTGAAAACATTATAATCATCCCTTTGACCAGAATAATCAATTCCTGTTTTCGCGAGAATATTTTTCCTGATATTCTAAAAAAGGCTTTTGTACCTGTCTTTTAAAAAGATTCTTCGAGGGCAACAAATGCTTTGCTAAGAGTCAGTTTGGTTTTCGAACAGGCTGGGTATATTAAATCTCATTACTGATATTCTGCATTCTTTCGCCAATCTCTAATATGATGCTGTTCTTTTCTGTGACTTGAATAAGGCATTCGGCTGTGTTAAAACAAAACTTTTGAACTGCTGACTATCTCAAAATTAATGATTACCTGGCTAAAAGAGTTTTCGAGAGCCAAAGTACATGAAAGATGAAGGGGCCTTAGAACATAATGACCAAGATTCCTCCAGAACTTTGTGACAGTCTTGTAATATGAGGAACGTTTAAGTCATCTGAACTAAACCACCTCACATGTCAACTGGAGAACCGAAACTTATTCAGTGCTACTACAAAAACGTACAAGGCTTAAATACCAAAACGCATTCATGCTTCAACGCCATTTCCGCCAGCGTGTGGACATAATGGCCATTACGGAATCATGGCTGAAGCCAGAAGTGTTTACCTGCGAAATTTTCTCAGCAGAGTATGCGGTGTTTCGGACGGATCACGAGTTTGAATTGACGTGAGTGTCTAGAGGGGGCGGCGTACTGTTAGGTGTGAGGTGTGATCTGAAACCTGAGCAACTTGACCTTAATTTTTTAAATACCATAGTTCCTACTACTAATATTGTGGGCTGCAAGCTCAAGGTAAACTTTTCCACATCACATATAAGTCTACTCTATATTCTGCCATGTATTGCCAATTTTAGGAAAGCGAACTTTCCTTTGATGTACAATTTGTATTTAGACGCCGACTGGTCGACGGTTCTTGACTTTTCAAGTGTAACATTGTAAAAAATCGAATAAAGGTTCTCTATTTTATTCTATTCTAGATGTTCCGCTTATAACTGTTGATGACTTTCTAAAAGCCAGCACAAAAAACTTAAAAATAAATTAACCACAGGAGTCGACAACAGTCCTAGCTGCTAGCTTCCTTGTTAAAGATACTGTTTGTGTACTTGTTACTCCATTAACCCATATTTTTAACTTTGTAATTGATTAAGGTCAGTGTCCAGATATATGGAAAACAGCAAAAATTATCATCTACAGCAGCATATATCATATATTCTCAAATCAGAGGTCTCCTTTCGCCTAGTCAACATAGTTTTCTTGATTCTCGCTTATGCATGACGAATTTGGCCACACTATATGCGAAACATGACACTCGGGGTCAGTTTGACGTTATCTACACAGATTTTCAGAAGGCATTTGACCAAATCGATCACTTTGTTTTGCTTTTGAAACTCAAGAACCTTGGAGTCACAGATATTGTTGGCTTTATTTGAATCTTATCTGATTGGTCGCACCCAGTAGGTGGAGTATGAGCACTTCAGGTCGTCATCATTTATCATTAGTTTGGGTGTACAGGGTGATCTATTATAAATGTCACCCCCTGCTAACTCTTTCATTTGACATTTTTGATAGAAGTGTCAAATACAAAAGTTTTAAGACATTATCAAAAGCTTTTAACTAAGTCAGTTTTAGGCATACAGGGTGCGTCAAAAAGGTACCTACAGCAGTGTGAAGTTATATTTTTTTTAAATGGAACACCTTGTATATTGTACCCTTATTTGTTAGTCCCTTTTAACCTGATTTCAGCGATATACGGTTTGATATGTTTATCTCTCGGTTTATCTCAAATAGTAAGAGGGAAAAACGCAATAATCCCTTCCTAGGTCTCTCATGTTATTTTTTTTTAAAATACTAATAATAACTTACAACATCTGGATTTATTATAATATTTCACCTTGTATATTAATGAATGAAATTTGAACAATAAACTGTTCATAAAACAAAATTCTCTAAAGCCTAAATGGTATAATTTTTCTTTTCTCAATGTGAAACCTTGAAAGGGGTTTTCACGTTTTTCCCTATAGCTATTGAAGATAGACATATCAAACCGTATATCGTTGAAATCAGGTTAAATGGGACTAACAAATAAGCGTACAATATATAGGGTGTTCCATTAAAAAAATATAACTTCACAATGCTGCACTTTTTTGACGCACCCTGTATGCCTAAAATCAACTCAGTTGACAACTTCCGATAATTTATTGAAACTTTTGTATTTGACACTTTTGTCAAAAATGTCAAATAAAAAAGTTAGAAGGAGGTGACATTTTATAATAGATCACCCTGTACCACAGGGCTCTAACTTAAACTTAGGACCCCTGCCATTTTTGTGTTTTATTAATAATTTAATTAGTGTTATCAAGTGCGACAAACTTTTGTATGCTGATGATTTGAAGTAGCTCAATAAAATATACACTGAGAGAAATAATTTTAGACCATTATAAAAATCTTAATAACCTTAATAAAAATATCGCTTAAAATGGGGGACAGCTAAGCGCTGTAGTCACCATTATTAAAGTCACTTCATAAACTACTACTTTGCTATCATTGATAGACTAATTTACTGAAATCGCCTAAAGACCATTAAAAATTTATAAACGAGTCACAATAAAATAGTTTAGAATGGCTAAAAAACGGTTTTTTAACTGTCAATAAATATTTGATGATGGTTATTAAACTGTATATTAACCCTTAATATATCTTATAAGGGATAATATAAACATTTTAATAATAACAGATGAATATCTTTATACCATCTATTTTTTTTTTTTTTTTTTTGACCACCAAAAGTTCCTTTTATAATCATAACAAGATAATCTTATAAGGCCCAGTTGTACAATCTCGGTTCAAAACAAAGTTCAACTGAACTCGACTGGTACTTGAGTTTTCCCATTTAAAATACATTGCTGTCAGCTATTAATCAAATTCTATCATTTTTGATAGCAACGCATTTCAAATGGGTAAGTTCCAGTACCAGTCGAGTTCAGCTGAACTCTGTTTTGAACCAAGATTCTACCGGGTCGGGTGTCCAAATAAGTCAGGACGCCGGCTATATCTCAGGAACTATTAGTCCTAGAGCTTCCAAGTAATTT